GTATTTTACCAGGAAACATAGATAGGGCAGGCTAGGAAGGTCAGTGCCCTCCTAACCATACCCAAGCACTCCGAGTTTGTTGGCGATGTCCATTTTGCTCTATGAGTTCATGGTGACCTAACCCTAACCCTAAGTGGAATTTTCCTCCAATGGGATTTTCCCATGTATTTTACCAGGAAACATGGATAGGGCAGGCTAGAAAAGTCAGTGCCCTCCTAACCATACCCAAGCACTCTGAATATGTTGGCAATGTCCATTTTGCCCTATGAGTTCATGGTGACCTAACCCTAACCCTAAGTGGAATTTTCCTCCTATGGGATTTTCCCATGTATTTTACCAGGAAACATGGATAGGGCAGGCTAGGAAGGTCAGTGCCCTCCTAACCATACCCAAGTATTCTGAGTTTGTTGGCGATGTCCATTTTGCTCTATGAGTTCATGGTGACCTAACCCTAACCCTAAGTGGAATTTTCCTCCTATGGGATTTTCCCATGTATTTTACCAGGAAACATGGATAGGGCAGGCTAGGAAGGTCAGTGCCCTCCTAACCATACCCAAGTATTCTGAGTTTGAGGAGGAGGAGGAGGCCCTGGTGGTGCCTAAGCTGCCCTTCACTTCCTTGCCCAGTTCCCACAGGAGGCCGATGTGCCCCCCCCAGCCATGCCCAGATTCAATGCATTCTGAGGGAGCCTGAAGATCACCCTGCTGTCAACCTCTGCCCCCTGCCTGGCAGCTTACCTCTGGTCCAAGTCCAGCCCTGCCAGCATCTGCGAGAAGACGTTGAAGGTGCCCTCTTCCTCGGGCTGCTGCGCCACCCGGGCTCTTTCTAGCAGCATCGTCTGGGCAGGAGAGAGGAGGGGGGACTCCTGATTAGCTCCTTCCTGAAGGTGGCATCTCACTTGGGCACAGCTAGGGCCACCCCGTTGAGGATGTCGGAATGCAGGAGCTGCTGTGCGCCCAAACCCCCCACCCACTGCCTCCTCCAGCCCTCTTACCTGGAGATGGGCAGCCGTTACATGCCCAGAGGCACTGAAATCCAGCGCCATGACCATGGAGAAGCGGGTGGAGGCTCCGTTAGGCCCAGCGGGTACTGTGCCAAAGGCTCTGAGCACCGTGAACACGGCCTGGATCTTCTCCACTGCAAAGCCAAAACACTCTGGAGAACACAGGTGTGTCCCTCACCACCCCCTCCCTCCGGCCATGGGGGCTGGTGGGATGTGAAGGCTGCTGGGTTGGGGGGGGGGCTGCCCAGCGCATGTCCTACCTGTGACCCGGTTGTCCACGCTGCCCGCGGTGGCCACAAGGTACTCCAGGATGCTCTGGCAAGCGGCCGTCTTTCCCGTGTTGCTTCTGCCCAGGGGCACAATGGCCTGGTCCTGCCTCTGCATCAGCATGCGCCAGTAGGCCCTGTGCGCCACCGCAAAGATGTGCGGAGACATCCTGTCCCTCCTGCCTTGGAAGGCCTGGGAAATTATAGCGTGTGTCTGTGTGTGTTCCACGCACAGGCACATGGTCCCCCGCCAGAGGACCTCGAGGGCAAACCGGCCCTTCGCCCAACAGCCAGGTTTCTCTACCTTTGTGGAGCTGCTGGCCAAGGAGGGAGCCGGCCTGAGGGCCACCAAGTGAGGGCCAGCGAACGTGTACGGCAGCTGCGCCTGGCACCTCTGGCGGAGAACGTGGAGGACACTCGCCTCATTCAGGCTGACCAGCGCAGCCAGGTCCTCGGTGCAGTCCAGGCTGGACGGATTGGCCTGTTGAGAGGGGGGGAGGAGGTGGAACATCTGACCACAGAAGGAAGCCACCTTCAGCTGCCCGGTTCCCTTCGTCTCTCCAGCAGCCAAAGGAATGAAAGAGACCCCAACCGGATGCTTCCAGAGAGTCAGGGCAGGCAGAGGATCGTGCCAAAATGACCCCCTAAATTCAGTTGCCTTCAGGCAAGGACAGAAGCCCCCACCTTCTGGACCTCTGCTTCGTCCACCTCCACAATGGAGCCATCGGCGTCCAGGCGAGCACGCACGGTTCCCGGAGGCAGCTCCGGAGTGCCCACGTCTGGCTTCAGCTCAGTGGCTGCAAAATGAAGGCTAGCTATAAGGCCAAACCCCACCCCACCCCGATCCAGCCCCTGGACGGCCACTCGGCAAAGGCAGCCAACCTCCCCCAGCTCAGGGCAGCCCCCATTCCCAGCCGGTGAGGAGGGGGCTACGCGGGGTCTGCTCTGGGTCAGGAGCCGCCACACGGAAGGCGTTGGTGGCTCCCCCAGGGACCCTGCCTGCCCACTTTCCTCTCCCTGCCAGGACAGTGTGCATGTACACACACACAAACACACATACACACCAGTCACAAATGCAAACAGCACGGGGAGAACAATCTTTGCCTTTTACTTATTTATCACATTGATATTCCACAAGAGTTCAAGGGCTCTCAGCAGCTTTCACGATATGAAAAATTAATTAAAACATCCACGGTACATGAAACATCAAAAAAAAAAATCTTAAATCCTAAAATCCTAAAACAATAAACCATCTCAGCGACAAACTTACAAATGAAATAAGCCAAAGCATAAAACTCGGCATAAGGCAAGAACTCAGTCCCTCCGTTCTTCCCATCCTTCCAAAGTTACTGGGGAGGGGGCTGCTCCTATCTGCCTTGAGGGGCTACGCTCCCCCCCCAGCCCCTCAGTTGCAGGAGCCAAACCTACCAAGAGCAAAGTTTTCCTTCTGAACCAGCCAGACTTTCTCCGTTTCAAACCAGACGTCCTCAGAGACCTGCTGAAGGAGGAGGGAGGCTGAGCGCTCCCACTTTGAACTGGGGAGCGAACAATTTCACTGGTTTTCTAGCAAAGCTGGGCTGGAAGCTCCTCAGGGACCCTTTGCAATCTGAGGAGTGTCCAGCCCTGCGCCTTCCCGCCCCCTTTGCCCCTGAAGGCCTGGCCCCACTTAAAGACCGCCGAAGAGGGGTCTCCCCAGGACCCCCAGTGCCCTGAACTGCTGTGATTTCGTTTCCTTATTTCTCAACTCTTGCACAAAAAGGCCACACCCGCAATCACAGCAGGATTCAGGGGCGTCAGTGGCCATGTTTTATTGATGCAAAGTGCATCCGTAACGCAAAGGCAGATGGGGAGAGCCAGAGGGCTGCACAGGAAATTCAAACGAGGAGAAAAAGAAGAATTCTAAGCATCGTTTCCCATTTGGGGGGGCAAGAGGTGGGCAGTCTGGGGAGGAGACAGCCCAAGGCGCTCCGGGCATTCGGTCCTGCCAGGCATGGGACGCAAGGGGGGCTCCCAAACACCGGGCAGCTCCAGGCTCACCTGGCTGGAATCGGGACTCTCTTCCGGATCCTCTCGTCCTTCTCCTGCCAAGACCGTCGCTGCTTCTTCCAGGCCCCCCTCAACCTCTGCTGCTGCTCCAGGGGGTCCCTGCTCCCCCCCTCCCCCGGCCGGAGCCTCTGCTTGCTGAGCTCCCCCAGGTCCCATCCCGGCACCTCCCCTTTCCTGGCTGGCAGCTGCCAACGCCTCTCCTGGCCCCTTCCTGCCTTCGGCCACGTCCCCTTCTTCCCTCTCTCCTTTCTTCCCTCTCTCCTCTCCATCTGCCCCGGTCTCTTTCCTCTTCCCCGTCCCTCTTGCCCCCCTGCCCGGCTTGGTCCCTCCCTGGGCCGTCTCCTTCCTGGGGCTCTCAAGGCCTTTGCCCCGGGCAGCTGCCGTGCCAGGCCTGGAGTCGGGCGGGCCTTCGCTTGCTTCTGCAGCAGGCGCTCCGGCCAGGGGGACCTTCTCTTCCACTTTGGGGGGAGCAGCTGGAGCCGGATCGGGCCCAAAGAGCCTGGCGTTCCTCCTTGGGGGGCCTATCCTGAAGGGCAGCGTCTTCTTCTCCGGGAGGGCAACCCTCCCTTCCCCCGATGGCTTCTCCCCGTTCAGCCTGCCCTGTGCCAGCTGCCCCCTGCTGCTGGTCATGCTGGCCCCCCCTTCCAAGCGGTCGTCCTCCTTGATCACAAACTGCTGCACGGGCCCCACCTCCGGCTTCCCAGGAGGCTGCAAAGAAAAGCCAAGCCCATCAGAACTTTTGCCAGGGGACCGAAGGGCACCAAGGGGGCAGAGAGTTCTCCCGGGGGGGAGCAGGTGGGAACCCACGCAGAGGAGGCCCCTCCCGAGGATTCTGAGAACTGGGGGGGCCTCCAGGGCCCCCGACACACTGCAGGGAGATCCAGACTGGCTCTGCTTGTGCGCCCAGCAAGGACGTGATGCCCGCAGGGAGGGCTGTCGGGGCTCCCTCCTCTCCAGAGGGGCCCCCAACCTTAGAGCAGATCCCAAGGAAGCTGGCACTCCACCAGCCCCCCCCCAGCTTAACGACAGCCCCCCTCCCCCCGCCACTCACATCTTCCTGGGAATCCGAGGCAACGTCCTCTTTCAGCCTCAGCGCCTTGGACTCCTTTTCGTTCTGCCGCACGAGCTGCTTGATGAACCCCCCAGGAATGATGGAGAAAGGCAAAGGCGGGGAGGCGGGCGGGGGGCTCCGGTCCTCTTCCCTAATCTGTTCACACCAAAGTGTTCCGTTACTCAAGGAAAATGGAAGATGTCAGCTGGAGCGTATCCCCCAACCGCCCTGCCTCAGGGGACAGAAGACCGCCAACCCATAGAAACTCCCCCCCCCCTGTACAAAGAAGAGGCTCGGAGACCAAGCCGAAACCCCAGATGCGCTGCAAGGCGGGGGCTCTGCACATGCTCCGGCGGTTTTAACTGAACTAAAGATGCTTCCAGAAGAGCACTGCTCTGTGCATCCATATGCAGACACACAAACACACACGGCCGCCCCATTTGCAAGTTTCAAGACACAGGAAACGGCCAATTTCTTTGGCTGGATGGGATGCTCCGGGCGGCCTTCCACTCTGGGGTGAAAATTCGAATTAGTTGCTAGTCAAAAGCAGAGAAGCTCATGAAAAGAAGCCAACAATGCAGAGGAGGAATCAAGCCGTTAATAGCAAGGAGGGCAGCTCAGCAGCCACCGGGGCTCTGCTTGGGCCTTTGGAGGGCACCAAAGCTCCCCCCCCCAGCTCATGCCGCTCTCCAGGTTGCCTCATGCGGGCCGCGTCTGCCAGGAGATCCACTTCCCTTCTGCTCCCACAGAGCGAGTCGTGACGAGATGGCCATGCTGACGGGCAGCTCAGAGGGGGCAGAGCTTCACGGATGGAGACCCGGAACAGCAGCCTGCATCCGGATGGAGCGCACAGCCAGATGGGCCGGAAGAAGAGGAGAGACCGGTCAGGCTCAATCGGACCCCCTCGCCCTGTTCAGAGGCCCAGGCAGGGCAGGGCAGGGCACCCTAGACTGAGCCTCTGCTTTTCCAGACCCCTGGAAGGAGAGACGGCCGCCCCGGTTCTCACACTGGTTGGCTCCTTCTCACAGGGACCACCTTTGCCAACCCTTCCCACTCCAGGGGGGGGGGCTGAGGAAACAGACATAAGGCTTCCCCTTTCCCCAACCCCCCCCCCCCCCAGCTGAGGTCTCCACCGTCTCCCTGATCCCTGGAGGGACCCTCACCGGCTGAGCAGGCCCATCTTCCAGGCGGCCCCTCCACAATATTCCGGGGGCTTCTGAGCTTGGACTCCATGCCAAGCGACACAGCCCTCACCCCCCAGCTCCACGGGTCTGGGACAGGGTTCCCTGGACAACAGGTGACTTTTCCTGCTGACCTCTTGGAAATGTAGCCTTCACAGCTTCTTCTCCTCCCCTCAAATGCCTCAGGATCAGAGTCACCAGCTGCACCTGGCTGACGTCTTGGGCAAGTTAGGGAAGGAGGGAGGGGGCATAAAAACTCCCCAGTTCCACCTAAAGAAAGGAGCCCCTGCGGGACACAGTGAGGGGGGGCTGCTAAAGCTTTGCAGGGGTCGGGCTGGCCTGAGTCTTAGCCTGCAAGCTGGGGCCACCCAAGAGAGAAATTCCCCATAATGCTTCCCACCGGTCTTAAACAGTGGTGATCAGGACAGACCCTGATTAAAGCCTGGCTTTATCAAGAGCCCTTGGAAAGAGGAGGCCCTTGGGGAGGTCACCTCCGCCGCTGACTGTCCTCTCTGGATCACGCGGGGGGGGGGATCCTCCCAAACCCATCAGCCACCGCCAGCTCCAAGCCCTGCTTCGGAATCGTTCTGGCCTTTATTTAAGGGCCCCAGGAAGCCTCAGAAGAAGCTGCATTTTGTTCAGCGCAAAGGACAGGATAAGAAGGGCTCCTGCTGGCCGGAGGCCACGTACGCTGAAGTGGAAAGGGGGTTGTGGACAAGAGCCGAATGTAGCGCTCCATTCCAGGCTCCCAGAGCCTCTAAATCAGGGGCATGCTTATTATTGTTATTATGTACACACCCACACACGTACACCCACCCATGAATAATGCATCAGAGAACAAAGAGGACAGCAGCCTCCCCCACCATCTCTGTTTCCAAGTCTGTCTTGAGGCAATTGGGAAGTGCTAAAATCTACGTAAATGTAAATGTCTTCTTGGTGGTTCTCACCCCCCCCCGTAACCATGGAGACATTTTTAACTGCCAGCTGGCTGGGTCCCTCCATCATAGGCGAAACGCCTCAGAAATCCAGTTCAAACACATCTACAGTAAAAGCAGCAACCATCAGTGCAGGCAAGAATGAAAACTTGAAAAAGAAGCCCCGTTGGCCCCCGGCCACTGCTGCCCTCGTCCCTTGGCCCCCTGGCAAAGCCGCCCTGGGCTGGCACCTCCAGCTCATCTCTCTGGACAGGCTGAAATCGGAGCTTCGCCAACCCACAGCTGCCCGGTGGGCGAGAGAAACCCGATCCCTCCTCCCCAGCAGAGAAGCTGGCAGGGGCTGCCCTGGGCCAGTCAGACCTTTCTGCAGACTTTGGATCAGCCTGCCTGGCCAGAACCCGGCCCGCCTCTCCAGCCGCCACATGGCCGAGGCCTCCTTTGCTGCACTGACCGCCCAGCGCCCAGCCCGGCCCCCACCCACAACCAGGGCACCCAGCCGGAAACCGTGGTGGGAGGCCACTGCCGCTCCGTCCTGACGAGGCTCTCTTAGACCCACATAGACGTGTCCTTGTGCGTGGCCACTTCTGCCATCTCAGATCCAGCCACGTCCCTCTCAACCACCTTGCGCCAGAGGTCCCAGGGCCCAGAACCATCTCTCTGCTTTCTGGACTCCCATAACTGTTTCCTCCCGCCTTCTGGACTAAGCCGCCATTGCTTACACAATCCTGGTTTACCCTCCAAGGCCTAATAAGTTCACAAAACACCCTAAGCAGAAACCAGACACGGCCCCGGTGCAAGGCATGGACCTGCCACACACACAGACTGTGTTGATATAAAAGGCCTCATTTGGTTTCTGGATTAACCTGTTTTCCATCTTTACAGAAAACACAGCATCAAAATTCATTCACACCAAACTATTTGGCAACTTGGCTCATGAGAAGGCACTCCTGGGGAGCAAAAGAGTGTCTTGGATCACCTTCATTTTATTTTATTTTATTAACTGGGCGTCTGTATCGGTTCAAAAGTTTGATCGCTTAAGATTCCATCGTATTGATTTCTAACCCTGCCACCCACACCGTCTTCAAAGGCCAAACTGGGATCAGCGGCTGAAGGCCCAAATCTGGCCAGGATTCAGACCAGCCTAGGAAGGCCCTTCAAGAATCCAAAGGCCTCTCCTGATTAACATCCTCAGAAGCACCTCCAGCTTCCCCCGCCCCCCCCGGCTTTTACATTTCCCAGCGTTTGAGCTGGTTTGTTCCTGCCCAGGGCGGTCTCCCGGGACGGCTTCCCCAGGAATCTCTCTGGGTTCGGAAAAGGAGGGTCTTGCCCCGTTTTCCTCGGGGATCTCTATTAGAGCAAAGAGGAGAAGGCCAGTCCACTTCTGGTGGACAATCATCTAGGGAGAAAGGGGGCAGGATGGGACCTTCCTCGCAGCTGAGCTGCTCCCAGAGCCTGGCCTGAAGGAAGGCCCTGCTCGGCCATTGCTCTCCGACGTTCCGGCAGGCTGTTCTCTGAGCCTGGCTAAAAATAGCCACCTGCTGACCCTCCGGCCGGCATTTGGGAGCTCAAGGTAGGCGCCCACCCCAGACCTTCTCCCCAGACCTTCTCCCCTCCCCACGCAGTCCCAGAGGGCGCCTACCTTCTCTATCAGCCACCTGGTCGACAACAGGTGAGCGGCCTCCTACACAAACAGCCCCAGCAGCAGCTACAGGTTCCCAGCAGGCAGGAAAAAGCAGGAGAAGGAGGAGGAGGAGGACGGGGGAAGTGGCTAAGCGGACCCCTCCCCTCCCTCCCACCCATCCCAGATGAGAGCCAGCAGCTGAACAGGAGGACATGTCATGGCTAAAAATACGCCCGGGTGTTAGGCTGCCTGCCTGCCTGCCTGCCACAGACAGAGGCACCCTGCCAACCAGCTGGGCCCAGGGAAGGGGGGACTGGTGCCCTCTCCCTTGGGCACACTCGGGGGGGCCAGCATCTGCACGTGTGGCCTGGGGCACCCACCCAGAAGAACAGGGGTGCAGAGGTGGGTGTGGAGTGTGAATTCTGCCATCCAGGCTGAATCCTACCAAGCTCAGAGGGGCTACCCCCCCCAGCCAGCAAGTCAGGGGTCCCAATTAACCACAAAACATTAAGTTGAATAATATCACCCAACACAACCACAACTCCTAGATCTCACTCCAAAGAGGCAGCTTACTTTCCCCAAGAGCATTGAGGGGAATGAATATTCCATTTTTCCCAAAGGCTACTCCAGATCCATCTACTGCCCAGAAGTCTTGGTTAGTGGCCAAGATCCCTGGATCCTTTCCCAAGCCCCCCCCCCGGCCGTCAGCTGGTACAGCCCAACCGGCACCCACGCTGCTTGCTTTTCCTGACCAGCCTTGCCCACCATAGAGTAATATGGCTTTGCCCACTTTTGCTGGGCCGGAGGTGTTTGATTGCCGGACTTTTGACAGGCCCCGGCTCCCATGTGTATTAACAACAGTTTTATCTGAAGGTCTTAACCTTTTAACACAGCTCACCCTCCATCACAATCTTGATGAGTCTCAAGACTATGGCCGCCATTACTACTAAAAACAAGCACAATCTTAGAAATAAGGATGACTTACCTGGAAGATCCAGACGTTGCTCCAAGGATTCCCGGGAGTCTTTGTGCTGCTTCTGCTGCCCATCTGGCGTCATCTCTTCCACCACGCCCAACGCGGCCACTCACCCCTGGGGATCATCCTCTAGGGAAGACCAATGACCTACCTTAGAAACAGCCCTGCTGCAGACACAAAAGCCACCCCACGTCCGGTGCCAGAAATGCCAGCAAGTATTACGTACCACAAAAATGTAAATATGGTCTTGAAAATGCTCCACTTTCCTTTCAGAAGGAAAGGATGATGGACTGAGGTCTCCTAAAGGTGGCTGTTCGAGAACTTCCTTCTTCTAGTCTTCCAACTTACACAAACATCTCCTCTCTTCTTTAAGCTCGAAAGAGCTCTGGAGGATAATGTTTCCGATAACATCTGTGGTCACCGGATACCCTGAAAAAATGAGCCATCACTTGCTTTTGGGGAGGAACGTTGAAAGAATTTGGCTGGGAAGCTCGCGCAACTGGCTGCCAGCTGCCGTCCCTCCATTAAATGCATCATGCTCACGATCGGGGCACTGGTCAACTTCAGGACCTGGTTTGAAAGGACAAAACATCTACGACTTGGTTACTAAAAGGGCCAAGCTGACCAAACAGCCTGACTCTCTGATGGGAACAAGAGCAGCCCTGGTGGATCAGGCCAAAGGCCTCCTGGTCCAGTCTCCAGTGTCCCAGCGGAGGACGGCAATAGAAAACCCGCAATCGTCTCCCCTACTCTCACCGGGGCAAACTTCAGTAGCCCCGTAGAAGACCCTGGGTGGGGGAGGGGGAACGTGACAAGAGGGCTGTGACTGTGGTCGTTAGGATCTCAGTCCTCCCAAGGTTTCCATCCTCACTCATTTTCATGTGAAAATGTGACTTTTTTTTTAAAAAAATCATCCAATAGATGGCAGCAGACGTGAACTTTTGGGTGAAGAGAAACCTACGTAAAACTACTCTCCCGGGCTCCTTTCCACCTTAAGCAGGGAAGCCACCTGAAGCCAGGGCCCTGCAGGGAAGACAGTCCCAAACTCCTCCGCTCAGTCGTGGTGCTTAAATGCACACCGAGGCTGAAAGGTTGGAAAACAAACAAACAGACCGGATCACCTTCCACTGGCTCAAGTCAGGGAGGCTGGGAGTCCCTGTCCGATCTGTTGGCCCTTCCTTTTCTGTCCTCTGGCGATTTTGCTGGGATAAGAACTGCAGAAGGGGACAGTCTTCTTCCTGAGGACTTCGTGGGACCTCCATCTGGCCTTCTCCGTCTCCGATTTCTTCCTGAAAGCCGGGTGTGGCCCTGCCCAGACTCCACTCTGCAGACTGGCACTCAAGAACCAGCCTGCCCGGCCTGGCAGACCTGCAGGCGACACACCGACCCCAAAATCCCGGCCCCATGTGGGAAAAGGCCGGTGCATTCCCAAGACACCCGAGGCCAGAGGAGGGGAAAACGAGAGAGGTCCTTTTTCTCTGAACTTGTTTTATTGGGGATGGTTGGACAAAGAAAATCCGGTTTGAACAGCAATTTTATGAAAACTGTAATAAAAAATTATTGAATTCAACTGGAAAAGGATCCTTGTTACTTAAATAACATACATAAGATGAGGAAAAAATTGTACAGGGAATTAAGTAAACCAAGGTGTCCAGACTTAAAAATAAATAACATAAAAATGCCTCTTAGTTAAAACATAATTCTTGGATTTTTTAAACTACTTCTGAGGATAAAAGTAACTTAATGTTGTACCAAAATAAAACTTTTGATTATTAGTTTAACACTTTAAAAAAATAACAAATTATCAGATGCTCTAATATTCAGTAGTGCTAAACCACATATTTACATCATAGAATATGACAGCAGGCACAAAAAATTTTTTTATGATCTTTTGGATATGCGTACATTTTTCAGTGTTTTTTAAATATATTTCTCCCATTTTGTGTAATACTGAAAGTAAGCAATATAATCTTAAGATCTCCAAAAATGTATATTATCCCAACATTTTTATCGGTTTTTAGCTAGAAGTTCTTCTCTACAGCACAGTTCAAAAAGAGTATGCATATACTGTAATTCAAGATGGTTAAGGTGCTCTAAAACAGACCTCTAACATAGCAGTGCATTGCCGAAGGGGGGAAAAAACGATAAACTGCAATTTGCCCTCAAGAGATGCTGCTCTTCCTGGCGCCCTTCACCTCCTCTGAAATCGGTGGAATCGCCACCACGGCCAGATCCCCCGCCAAGGGCTGGTCTTGCCGGAAGCCCCTCGGGAGCTGCAACTTGCTACGGATGGGCAAGAGACGAGGACGGGATTTTCAAGCAGACACGGGGAAGGCCATTTTAAAAAGGACTCTGCCAACCTTCGTTTTCAGAACTTACTTCCCATCTTCCACCAATCAAATGTCCCAGCGAAATGCTTCCTTTACTAATTATCATTAGTAAATTGATAACAATTTGTATTATTATAGTCATTTACCAAGTGTGCCTCTGTGAAGTCCCTCTTCCAGCCCAGGGAGAAGCTACCGACCACACTCCTTTCTCGGTCTCAAAAGCTAGGAAAGGAAGGGGAATTCTTGCCCAACCTCCTCAGCTTTTAAATGTACCCGGAGCCCCCCAGCCCCCCCCCCGTGCATTGGGGGAAATGAAATTGCTTATCCTTTAAAAAAAAATAAATATTCACACAAACACAAACTTCTCAGACAGCCTGGAGGGTGGCAGCTCTGAAGCCACATAGGATTCATCCCATTTCTATCAGGTGCCCTTCAGCTGCCTCTGGAATGAACACACACACACACACACACACTTCTAAAATATCTAGGCTAATCTGAACAATAGCTTAATCTGTGCCACCCTGAGATGAGGGCAGTCAGCAGCACAGCTCCTGCCAGTCTCAGCCGGGCAACATTTTCTGATTCTCTCCAGACCCTTAAAAGCAACCAACTTGCATCTTCCTCTTCACAAAATCTCTGGGGGAACCCCCCCCCAAATGTGGCTAAATGATGCATCCTGAAAGTGCCACCCGACAGATCCTCTCCGACAGGCACGGAGCTGATGACCCCAGGGGGCCTCCTGGTTTAAAACAAGCACGGTAATTTCAGGTTTGTTTTAAATACAGACTCACAAAGAGCCTTCAGCTGTTTAAACACAGCCCGGCTCTTTCCCAGAGGGCGTTCCCAGTGCCTGAAGTTGCCCTGAGGGGCAAAAAGAGAGCAGGCATTGAGGCAATTTTGCCAAATTCTTGGCTGTGGAGGCCCCTTGTTCCTTTCCAGCCGCTCCCCACAAAAGAGCAGGGGAGGCCGGTGGCTCCGTTACTGGGGACCAGCACACGCACACCTGCAATTAGGGCTCTGCAGCTCAGACCCCCCCCCAAGGAGGGCCCTGGAAAGCGCTTCCAAATCTCATCAGCTGTAAAGAGGGATTTAGAGCTTCAAAGTTCCACTAAACCCAAGCAAAAGTGGAGGAGGAGGAGGAGGAGGAGGAGGAGGAGGAGGAGGAGGAGAAGAGCTGGCACGGTGCCATCACACCAGCCAATTCACCCTCAGACCACGTTGCAGTTCTAGAGTTGGGGGGGGTCTCTCCCTTGCAAGAGCAAATTTCCACAAACTTTCAGACCACCGGAATTGGCACGAAACAAAAACCAGGTTTCAGAGCCAGGAGCCAGCGATTCACAGCTACCCGCCACACCCTGCTGAAGAGGGTTCCAAGTTTGTCTTCCCAAGGGGAGAAAGGCTTCTCGGGGCGCAGTCTTGCAGACCCTACAGACTGCCAACGCAAGCTGCGGTGCACCCCGTCCTTAGCAGACCCAGGCTCCCAAGAGCAAACTGCGAGGGACGGAAACACCAGGGGGAGCGATCCTGAAACCGCAAGAGTTGAGCCAGGCCTCCTGGCTGCCTGCAGGCTAATTCTAGCGTTCACATGCTCCACGTTTAGTTACTGGATTTGTTTAAAGTGTTTTTTAAAAGTGCCACTAAAAGGAAAGTCACAAAAGCATTCGCCATGTGGCTCTCCCCAGCAACTCATGTGTGAGAAGAGGAAGACAGACAGACAGACACACACACACACAAGCGCACAATCACCATGTTTCCCCAGCCAAGCTTCTACTTGCACCAGTCCAGGCCAAGGTCAACGGAGCAGAGCCCACAGCAGACGCTGGCAGGACGGGCTGGGCAGCTGGTGAGGGAGACGGAACCAGAGTCCAGAGACACTTTTGCTGAAAAGAAGCAGCAGCAGCAGCAGCAACAGCACAACACTGGAAGCCACACAAAACATGTCTTCAGTTGGTCCGTGTGTGTGAAGGGCCCCAGTGAGGCCCAGAGGTCCCTTCGGACGGGTGGACGCAGCCAGGGAACCCCCACTGAGCCCCAAAGGTCCAAAGTGCCATCCCTGAAGCAGGCAGGAGCCCTCTCCGATGCCAGGGCCGGACGGCTGGGCTCCTCCAGGCTGGGCATCTCCCTCGGTCCGTGTGGCCTGGCAGAGCCCCTGCCCCTTGCACCTCTCCCTGCCTGGCCCCTGCCCAGACGCTGCCCTTCGCAGGACCCCACTCTGGAGCAGCAGGGGGGGGGGAAGGCAGCCGGCCTCCTCCCCACGAGCCATCACAGGCCGTTGCTGTTCCTATGGCTCAGGGGGGGCTTGGTGAGCTCCACCCCCGCAGAACGGGACTTGTTCAGGAACTTGGGCGCCCTTCGCAGCAGCTTCTGGGCCTCCGTGAAGGCCTCCGTCAGCTCCTTCTTCCACTGCAGGGACTCCGGGTCGCTCTAGGAGGGAGCAAAGAAGGCTGCAGGACACACACCCACACCCCGGAGAGACCCTCGACGCCCAGCCCCCGGGAGGACGGGCCGCCCCGGGACAGAACGAACCCACCATCTCTGCCACACACAGCAGAGGATGCCGCCTCCGCCCCCAACAAACCCGGCATGCTCTTTGGCTAACCAGGATTGCAGACCAGGTGCGAGGGAGGAAAACGGTATCACTTTTTCAGCAGCTCAATCTGCTGGTGAGGTAGGAGCCCCACAGCCCCCCCCAACGAATAAACTCCCCCCGGGGATGAACAGCCCCCCCCACTCCCAACCCCGGTTACCTCGCATTGCAGGACGAACTGCTTCCCTCCTTTGATCCGGAGCAGGATGCACTTCCTGTCCTTGACCTGCGTCTCCTCCACCGAGAGGATCTGCTCCATCGTTAGCAGGTTTTGCTGAGGGGCGAAAGGAACCCAGAGGTTGCCCAGCCTGGGAGCAGCCAGAGCAGGGGCGGGGGGAGGGGGGGCAGGGAGGGGAGGGGGACCACTCACCCGGGACTCTCCTTCCCCTCGCCACTCCAGCCGGTTGGGGAAGAGGTAGAAGTAGCGCCTCTGCCACTGCGTCAGGAAGGGGTTCCCCAGCTTCAGCATGTAGCCGTGCATGATGCAGTCCTTCCCCAGAGCATAATCTGGGGGGGGGGAAGAGCCGCCATGAGTGGGGAAGGCAGAAGGGACCCGTCTGGACATCCCTCACAGCTGGCATGGCCGGCTTCTGGAGCAAAGCAGGAGGGGGGCTGGGCTGGGGTGCCCCTGAGTTGAAGGGGGGGCTGCCAGGCACTGTCTGGGCTGCCCGGTGGGAGAGCCACCGCCAAGGATGGGCACACACTTCTTAAGGAACGCACAGCTGGCAAAGAAGCCCAGCAGTTACAGTTGTGCCCTTCCTGGGCAGGGGGCAGCTCAGTGGCCCACCCTGCCAACGGAGGGCGGCAGCACCCGGGTCCTTGGGGTAGCTGAGGGGTACCTTCCTCGTGGCCCAGCTGCTTGTTCTTTGCTCGCTTCCGCATCTCCACCTTGTCCGTGTCGGTGTTCACCGCCTCAAACACCGTTTCCGCCACTTCCTGCTGCCAACGCTCAGAAATCACCAGGGGAAAGTTCTTGTACAGCTCTTGGTCGCAGTCCAGCAGCTGGCGACAGGAAGGGAGAGGAGAGAAAGGATTCGCTTCCAAAACCATCCCCTGGTTTGCAAGCAACACACAGCTCGTCCGCAGCGCCTCGAGGAGCCAACCAGCACACTAGTCCTCAGGAGACCCCCTGGCCTTAAACAGCCTTCATTCCACCATGTCGTAAGGCTGAAGTAATACTGGATGCCCAGCGCCGTACCAGCCTTATCTTCTCCTGCCCCGATGTTTTATGAGACGCCCATCATCGGCCCCCAGATAGGGGGCCGCCTCCCCCAAAAGCCCCCCACTCACCTTAATGCCCTTTGTGTCCTCTTCATCGAAGGAGCCAATGTCAAAAGCATCCGCCGCATTGACTTCTCCCCTGGGGGGGATCAGGGGGGGCGAATACTGGCAAGGCAAGGAGAGCAGAGTTACAAACGGGCTCCCTGCAGAGATGAAAATCCTGGCTTTTGTTTATTTATTTATAAGGGCGGCATCAGAGGCTTCAACATAAACCAGGTCTTTGCAATCGGGTTCAAATTCAGCAATGAAGGACCAGCAGAGTGTTCATTCAGAATTTCTATAGCATCATTGTCTGTCAGGTAAAAGGCTCTGCGTGCTGAAGGATCACCGCTGGGCTCACCTTTTGCAGGTAAACGTGCTGCCAATCAATTCCTTGGAAGAAAGGGTGAGCCTTGGCCTCCTGGGCACTGTGGGATGAAGCACAAACACAAAGTGAGCTTCACAGCCCCAAAGCCGCGTGGCTGTCCCGTCTCCCACCCCGAGTGGCTCTGGATCCAGCCTCTCCTGGTGTATAAACATCTTCGAGGACCAATGCCAGGGACAGGAGCTCAGCCACTGCCCAATCAAAGCGCAGGGCCCCGCCATGCCAGCATCCACCTGACAGGGTAGGCAGGCAAGGCAGGCGGCTGTGAGAAGATCTGGGCTGGAATAAGCAACTTTGGTCCCCTAAAGAGCCCCACGCCGGCCGCTGGGACCTCCTTCCCCAGCCGAGCAGACTCAGCACAGCCAGAGGAGTTTGGCCCAGGAGAGGCTCGGGGGCCCAAACCAGGAGCCCCTTTGTTTTCTGGGCTCAGCCCTGGCTAAAAGGGAGGGGAGGGCTTCAGCTGCAGGTGGGCAGGGGATCTGCTGTCGATGGGGCTCTTCCCTCTCTGCAACTATTTGAACTGCTTGCATGGAAGAGCATCAGGAGTTTTGCAAAATAAACGCAGGGCTCTTTAGCCAATTAGATTAGGTAAACAACTGAACCCCCACAGCCCTCGTTCCTCCACTTTTCCAGTGGGGACTCACCCACCACCTTGGCAGCCGAGACGCTTCGTGATGTCCCGCTGGAGAAGCCCCTCCAGGAGAGTCTTGAGTTCAGGGGAAAAGGAATCCGGCAGCTCCACGTTCTGGGGAGGGGGGAGCAAAGGAGGGGCGCTCTGGGAGTTGGATCTGCCCCAGACGCAGGCTTACGATCTTCCAAGAGTACCCAGCGGATCCCCTGTGCCGGAGACCTAGGCTCCCCCAGAATGGAAGACCGGAGGGCCCTGCGAGGCTTCCAGGACAGAACTCCCCCCCCCCGCAGGAGAGCTGCAGCCGCAGTACATCCAGACTGGAGCCAGCGGCTTTAACTGCACCGTTAATTTCCTTCCAAGCCCCAGAATACAGTGCAATAAAATGCCTCTTGCGCTGCTGGTTCTTGCATTTTTGTTCATGTCTTTAAACCTGCTGGGCGCAGTCGATGAGGAAGGGCGCCTACTGAACGCAAAGAAACGGGGCCCGACCCGCCGCTCGGAAGCCCCACTTACTGCAGTGAGCGTCAGGCGGTCGATCGCGTGCTTGTCTTTGGTTTTGTGTTGTCTGAAAGGGCTGTGCCTGCCGGGAGGAGGAGGAGACACAGGCACAAGCCGAGACTCAGCAGGGCAGAGAGGGGGAAGGTTATTAGCCTCCTATATTAACGCCCAGCTGCTCATCTCCCGGTCTGTAAAGCCAGGTTACGTCCCTCAGCCCCCACCCCCACCCCACCCGAGGGGGCCGGACTCACCCTCGGAGAAGCTTGAACAGCATGCAGCCCAGGGAGAACCAGTCGGCCGTGCTGTCGTAGGCCGTTCCCTTCTGCAGCACCTCCGGAGCCATGTAGCCATGAGTTCCACTGGAAAAGGGATGCACACATGGGACAGGCCTGCAGAAGAGACCGAGGCCCCCAGGCGGGAGCAGCAAAGGGGGAGCCGCCTTCTTCCTTGAGCACGGGCCCCAGGCTCAGACTCTGCCATCGCCCACAGAAGGGATCCAGGGGGGGCTGCTGAGGGGGGCAGCCGGACTCAGAGCTCGGCTGACAGGCTTCCCCTGCAGAGCATGCCTCCTTTCTCTACTCACACGCTGGCATGGGGCTTCTTCTTGGAGAAATCACAAGCCAGGCCTAGGTCGGAGATCCTCACGTGGCCGTGTTCGTCCAGAAGGATGTTGGCCGGCTAGGGAGAAACCCAGAGGCACCTGTGGCTCTGCCAGGTGGAGCAGCCGGCCAAGGACGAGGGCAAACGCAGAGAAAGTCACGCCGGACGGGCCGAGAGTGGAGCTCAGCCTTCCTCTGAGCCCTTCGCCGAGACATCCCAAGGGGAGGGGAGGGGAGGGCAAGCAGACAGGCGCAAGGTCTCCGTAAAGCCCCAGAACCTTGCAGACTTTGCTACTGACCAGCGCTGGCCCGATAGAGAGTCCCCTCGGCCCACGGGGCCTGTTGCGCCCTTTGCAGAAACTGTGACGGCCGCCGCTTCCAGCACCATCCTGCCGCTTCCTTCCCACTTCCCCTTTGGGATGCCCGGGATGAGCCCTTTTCGGGGACATGACGCCAGCTACAGAGGGCATCCTGACAAAGCCCCCGCTGCCCTCCCCTGGAGCCTCCGGACCTCCTGGCAGGGGTTACCTTCAGGTCTCGGTAGACCACGGAGCGGCTGTGCATGTGTCCCAGCCCAAGGATGATCTCGGTGGCGTAGAAGCGCATCTCCTTCTCCGAAAAGACCCCGTGCTGGGAGAGGTGGTAGTGCAGGTCTCCACCTAAGGCCAAGAAGGTCCAACCTCAGCAGCAGCTCTCTGTGCGGAAAATCCCCGGGTTCAAGCTGCACCGTCTGGGCCCTGCGGGAGTCCTCAGGATGGCCTTTCCAGACCCCCACGGACAGCCCCTGCGGTGGCAGTCTCTGTGGCCTGGGCCTTCCACTCCACACGTGTCCAAGAGACACCCCCCCGGCCCCACTCCCTGCAGGCCAGCAGCAGACAGACACTCCCCCCCCCACACACACACACTCATTTACCATTCATCAAGTCCAGAATGAAGCACAGCTTGTCGGGCGTGTGGAAGGCGTACGTCATGCACACAATGAAAGGACAGTCCTGGGGGGGGAGGGGGGAGACCGAGATTGGCATGATGCAAAGAGGCCCTCCCAGGCATAATGGACACCACCCATCGTGAGAGAGGCCCTGAGCCGGGCAGGGAAGGAGAGGGGGCTGCCCAGTTCTAGACAAATTGACCAAACGGGGGGCCCAATGGTGGCATTCTTGCTCCGTGACCCCCCCAGGATTTCTGCAAGAGCCAAGTCCTGCGCCAGAGTTTCAGGCTGCTTCAAAAAGGCCACAACTTTCCCGCAAGAGGTCTTGGTAAATCCAGACAGGCCCCCGGTGGATCAGCCACCGTGGGGGAGACCTGCCCGTTTCCCCCTGCGCTGCAACCTGACCCGAGGACCACGCACTCACCCCAGTGCTGACGAGGGAGAGCATGATGCGTTCATTCAAGGCCAAGGTCTCCCCCTGCTTCATCTTGATCCTCTTCTTATCCAAGCATTTCATGGCGTACCTGAGAAGTTGCACAAAGAGGCTGAGGCCGCCCCAGGACACGAAAGGGCCAGGCTGCGTCCTCGCTTGCTCCCAGGTGCCTCCCAGGACTCGCTCCGCGATTTGCTGGTTTATGAATTAAAAGGATGAAAGCCAGGGATTTCTCAAGCAGGGCAATCGCGCTCTCCAATTCAGAGTTTGGCTGACTTGACCTGACCGGCGCTGTGCCCGAGTCCATGCGGGCAGCATCAGCGCAACAAGCTTTCCCACAGTTAAGCAATCCGTTGCCTTTTAACTTTTTCGGTGTAAAAACCGAGAAAACGTAGGGGCCACAGTTGAAGCGCGACTCAAACAAGAGGGGGAGATGTCCTTTCAAAGAGAAAATCTTCCTCCAACTTCTGGAGCATTGGGGGAATTAAACACATAAGGCAGTAACCCACCCCCACCCCAATTTTTAATGGCTTTGTCTGGGACAATTCATGTTTCTCTCATCATACACACAAGCCACGCAACTGACATTTTCCCTGTGTCCGCTTTACGGCAACCGTAGACTTCTCCAAAGCCGCCTCTCCCAATAATCCGATGGACACTGAACTCATTCATGGTCAGCTGCGGAGAGAAGAGGGCGACAACATAAGACTGTCCTCCCCCTAATCTTCTCAACTTCACAGGGACACATTTGGCAAAAGCTTTGCAAAGCACAATTGCATGCTGAACACTTACGGCCCAATACTGTGGGGTCATCCCAAACTAGCCCTCTGGCTAAAGAATATTTCTGGATCACATTGAGCCCCTCCGAGATGGACCTTGTTGAAACAACCCTCAGCGATGAATCTGCCCATTCCTGGCTTTATAAATGTGCATCCAGCAAAACACGCCTCGAAGATCAGAAAATACTTACGTGAATGTTCAGCTCTACATTTTTCCACTGGCAATATCTTGTAAACTTATCGCTGGAAATAAGAAAGAGGGGAAAAAGTTATAGTCCATGACCGCAGTAAAAACAAAACTTTCTCCTAAGATGAACTGGAAAAACAAAACAAAATCAAGTTTCTGATTTTAAAAAGGTCTCTTGATCAACTATTTTTTTCCTAATTGGGTGCCCTGGAATCAGAGTTGCTTATGGTGCTTCTCCTAAAAGGCAGGAGAGATTCCAGTAAAAATCGCGGCTGAAAGAATATCAAGCTTCCATATTTCCTAATCCCTTCAGTTTCTATTAGAAAAGCATTTTAAAAAGTGCTGAAATAACTTGTGAGGGGAAAAAAAACTGAACACTGCAATTCAGAGAACTCAATACTCTAGTTTTTAATTTAAAAAGAGTGTTTATTTCTGAAGTCTCTTTGTAGAAGCTCCCCCAATACGATGCAAAGGTTCCTGTTGTTCATTTTTGAAGGAAACATCTGGGAGTGCAAGTAGGCCCAAGGAGGGCACCCACATTGGAGAAGGTCCGCTGGGATTCCCACAGCCGAGCTACATCTTACACCCTCCCAGAACACCCAAGGCATCTCACCCCAGCGGCCATCTCCTCCTTCCTGAGCTCATCTTGCAGAGACCCCCAAGGGCCATCAGGTGGGGGGGGGCTGCAGAGAAGGAAGGTGCCATCCAAGCCCTACCTTTCCAGAAAGAGCTGGAAAATGCTTCCTCGCAAGCTGCCACAGATTTCTTCTAAGTAGGGCTACGGGGGAAAAAGCCAAGGATATTGCAATTATCCAAACCACCACTGGCTTCCATACCACAAACCCAAGAATAAAATCTACTTTCCCCAGTCAATCAGTTGGGGCTATGCCTGTACTGGCTGAGGATGATGGGCTTCGGAATTCAATACATTTTAAGGCTACCAAATTGCGAAACGCTGAACTAGACTCTGAGTCCATCTCTCTCCTGGAACGGAATCTTAACCATGCCTTGCTTTCTGCACAAGTGAGTCACTTTAGTCCATGGATTGATTAAAACTGTCGTTCCGCAAAGACAAACGAGTCTCACATTCACCTGGAAGAGGGTGATTGGGACCTGCTTCTTGGCCAGGCGGGTCTGCACGTGACTGACGGCTTGTTTTGAAAAGGGCTGTAGGGAAAGGACTCGTATTTATTCATTCAGGTATTTTGGGGACAGAAAACACTTGAGGACATTTGCAGCATGACTGGGGCGCCTCTCTTCACCCTTTCAGGCAGGAGAAGCACAAAAGGGGGGCTCTGAGACCCCCACCAATGAAGCCCCTTTGTTCAACGAAGCCCAAACCATGGGGTCCCAGCCACCCCAAGCCAAACAGAGGCCCCCTCAGGGACCAAGACCTCCAAGCTGGACCTCCCCCTGGGCCCAGCTGCGGTGGGATGGCCGTGTTCCTACGCACGTGGGAGCAGGACAGCAGCTCCTTCATTATGAAGGTGTCGTAGATTTGGCGGCTCCTGATGAGACGATCCTCCTCAGAGTCCAGCTTCTCATACTCTTTGATCTGCAAGACCCAACAGTGCGAAGGAAGGGCTGGTGAAGCCCAGGCTTTGCCCAAGGGTGGGTGGGGGGCGCTTCGGGTCCCTCTGGGAGGGCTGCAGATCCGGGAGTGAAAAGCCCGGGGTGGGCAAGGTGGAACAGATTTAGAAAACGAGTTCCAAGATTCGCTGAAATGCCCTTGAAGGGAAGGGGGGGGGAAGCCTTCCACAGAGAGCCTTTGCAGAACTCAACACCAGCCTACACAACTTCTGGAAAGCCATCCTGAGAAAGCAGCCGTTACCTGACACTGGGGTGAATCACTCCTCAAAACACACTTTGCCGTGTGACTCACAGAGCAGCAGATGAGTTTCCTGGAGTGCGGAGGCTCTGTCTCTCTCTCTCTCGCTGCTCCTGATCAGATTTACTCAGTGCCTAAATGCACCATCGTTCCACCGATTCCTTAAACGCACTAAGACCCTTTTCATCACTTTAAAAAAAACCTCCAGCTCTCCGGGAGAATCAGGAAAGTGCAGGGTCTCACCTCTTCATAAAACTTCAGCTGCGGAACGCCTTCCTCAATGTCGGTCTGGCAAAAGTCTCTGAACAAGAGGAATCCTAGGAGACAAACAGGTGGAAGAAGTAGAAGGCCTGATCCCAGGCAGGGCGCCTCATCACCCATCCGGGGGGGGGGGGCAGTTTTCATCTCCCGTGTCTGTCCCTCCAGGGAAGGGACTAAATGGCCAGAGAAGTCGGCCTTCTACAGCCAGGACAGGGGAAGAGCCGATTAATCAGCAGATGAGTCTCGATCTGAAAAGTGAGCGTCCTTTACCAAAACGCCAGGACTATTTTTAAACACATTTTATTTTCACATCTGCTTCCTTCACTTAGCAGCCGGGTTTCCTCTATGCTGTCTTTTTTTAGAAGGCCGCGTCTTCTGTCTCGTTATCCCAACAGCAAAGCAAGCACAGGAAGACTCAACCTTTGAAAACGGGGCAATGAGACCAGCAGGCGATCCCAGTCGGCTATGGATCTACCATGACCGCACGCGGTCTCCTAAATGGAGGGGCTCACCGGTCCCTGGCTGCCTACCAGCCCTTCGGGGGAGACCAGACAAGGGAACCAGCCTCCTGCGTGCTAGCGCCATGCAGCTCTTAAGGCGCTTCCCCTCTCCGTCTGCATGAGCAGCAGGGCGGGTCAAGCCCCAGAGGCCTTCTCGGACTGCGCTTCTACTCAGGACTCAAGAGGAGTCTGTCATCCGACTATTGTGCTGCCGGCGTCTCTTCCTCCTGTTCCTCAAAGTTATTCCTTCTGTCTAGCGCGGCCTTCAACATTGCCTAGCCGGAACCCACAAGTGGCGTTACCCAGTACAACCGACAAGGTAACAGCACAACGTATTCAGCAGCTGCTGCTTCAAGCTGAACAATAATCTCCCCCAGCCAAGCAAGCAGCAGCTACTTTTAAAAGATTTCACATTTTCAAAACATCCTTTTAAGAACCCCTCTCCTCTTACTGTAAGGAGAGGGGTGGATTTCAGTTAAGCACTTTCAGTCACTTTTCACCCTGTCTAACCACTGGTGTTTCTCCATCGCCCAAACAAGCAGCTGCCAAAACCTTGATAAGCATTTCGAAAGTCCAAACCAAGTTTTAAATAATTCTCATGTGAGTGATTCCCCTGATCGAAACAAGCATCTTTAGAGAACGTCTGCATAGAGGAAACCGCGGCAAGGGCCGCTTTCAAATCCGAGCCCCTGGTCCAAGCAGCTAATAAAGGTTTCATCTTTTCCAGGCGGCAGAGAAGACTTCCCACCATCAGCCTCAAGGTCCCGTCTCACTCTGAGGCCATGATTTCTTAAATCCCAATCTGTTCAACATTGGAGAAAGAATGAAATGGGGAAAATCTCCCCTTGTGAAGCGCCTGGAGCAATTGGCTGGATTACTCACAAAGCCTGCTCAGGGATTAGGCTTGGCAGGCATGAGACACTCCAGCTCAGCATCTGTCTGGCATTGTTTACACTTCTGAGGGCAACCCTTCCCGGGATTTCTACAAACTGAGCTGCTGGAGGCAAACCCCGACGGGAAGCAAGCACTAAGCCTGCACTGGCTGTCACCCACACACGCAGGCCTGCCGTGCAACGCGAACACCCAGAGTCGCACATCAAGCTCCCTCCAGAAAGCTTCAGCCGTTGCAAGCAAAATCCTGAAGGCGAGAAGCAGGCGAGGGTCCGGCTCTGCCACAGAGTTGCCTGTCTGGACGCCACCGTCCCGCTGGGCGAGCCCGTTGAAGGAGCTGCCATAGCTGGCCAAAGCAGAGTGCCCGAGCCAGAACACCGGGCAGCCGTTCCTGTGAGCTGCACGAGGGTCTGTGCATGTTGCTGGCAGGAGAGGGGGTTATCCGGCAAGGCCACGGCTCAGCCACCCCCTCCACACCAGCTCAGACATCTGCACACCGTCACAATCGCTCCTCTGAAGCGCTTGGAGGTACCGCTTGGTTTCTGGTCCCCAGTGATCCCAGCAAGGCAAAGTTATGGTTTCTCCCCAAACTCAGGATGGGCATTGCCCTGCGTGATCCTGCACCCCAATTCACCTCAAGACTTACCGATCTTCTGATTGAAGACCTTGTCGAAGGTCAGCTCTCCCCTCTCCTTCAAATACTTCTGCATCACGCTGCGGATGCTGAAAGGCAGAGAAGAAGAGATGGGTTAGTCCTGGCTATCTCTGAAAGATGGACGAACTCCTCAGGAGTTGTGTTAGTGGAACTCCGTTGGGCTAACAGGGCCGCACGACCCCCAAGCCCCTCCTGGATTCCCTCCTAGTTCTCACTAGGCCATCCCCCGGGAGTCTCCTTGTATGGAGTCACTTTGGGTGGTTGCAGGAGCTTCTGCAAAGGATCCTCTCCTGTCCCAATCCAATCAAGAGAACAAAATTCAGGACGTACAGAAAAAAGTCTAAAAATTATGCCGCAGAACAGACAACCCGGCCGCAGAAACAAACCACAGCCAGTTCAATGGGCACCAAATCTGCAAAGACGGCCGTGGTCTAAACTGGCATAGCCACTTTGCAACTCAAGCTACACGCAGAGCCCTGGGCCACATCCCGGCTCAGAGAGGCCTTTTCTGAAGTGCCTGGTGCCCTCCTGCAGAGCTGCCCCTCACAGCAGCCCCAGCTAGCCCGAGAGGCTTTCCCGGGTCCTTTCGCCCCCTCCTCTTCCTCAAGGGACATTCCGTAGCCTCATTCGGAGAGAAGAGCAGCAGGGGAGGGTGTCTTTGGAAACAGGGGGAGAAGCCGGAGAGGGAGACATTTTTCTCCTTTGTAGCTGGTGCTGAATTAGATTCCGGGTGAGCTCTGCTGCTCAAGCACAGCCATCGTGGCTCCCAACACACGGCATCAGGGATAGACACCCACCCCTTCCTCAGCTTGCTTCCCTCTAAGCCCCCCTTTACCAACACGTTGCATCAGGCAGGAGAAAATTAAGGCTGCATTCTCCCTCATTAAGCCTGCAAGAGCCAAGCAGAAGTGCCTCGTGCCCCAGACGTGCCCCAGGGGAGCCCTAAGTGGGCGCCTGACTCCACTCTTCCCTGGGCTGCACCTGGCCAGCCCGCCCCCCCTCCACCCCGCCCCCTCTCAGAAACGGTAAGGGAGCAAATGTAGAGCAGACATTTCAGCCCACAACCAACCATCCTGACCCCCAAGTCTTATGCAGGCAAGGGGCTCCTCCCCAGCACCCACTCTTGGGGCCCTCCCACCAGCGAGCATCAAGGAATGCCCGCTGTTCCTGCCACTGCTCTCACTGGCCAAACGACAGCCAGTCTGCCATCAGTCTGGATGCTCAGACCGCCAACTGCAGGGACAAAGCCCAGACGCTCAGCCGGAGCTCCCTGCAGGGGCCTTGCGGCCGGACGCCAGGCCCAGGCCCAGACCAACGGCCTCCAAATTTGCAACGATTTGGCCAGGAATGCAGGACGGATCTCTTAGCTGGGAATCCAGAGTCAGGACCTTTCCCCTGAGGACCAACAGGGGACAACCCCTAAGAACTGAGGGGGGGGGCAGCAACAGAGAGACCCCAAGGCCAGACCCCTAACCCAAGTTCACACACCTCCCAAGGACCTGTTGTTGGGTTTCAGCTGAACAGGCCGGGTTTGAAGCCAGCCTTTACTTATAAGCCATAAATTGTGGCTTGGTGTTGACACTCAGCCAACAGGGTCTTAGGGCCAGAGGTTGACTCCACCACTGGCAGTTGGCAGGGTCATTGGGGGATCCAGAGAGGCCTCCAAGCAGAGCGGCATGAGGGACTGCTGAGAGGGGTGGCCAGTCAGGGAGGGGACCACCCTGAATCTGGGGGGGGGGGTCACTCTAGTGTTTGCACATTCCCTGGAGTAGAAAAAGTTGGCCAGTAGACAAGTTTAGCCCCCCCCCCCCTGAAAAGATACGTCCACATCCACTCAGACACATTGAAAGGCACAGCCGAGCATTGGGAGCAGCAGCTGGTCTGGGGCTGCTCAGGCCAATTTTGGGGAGGGGGTGTGGGGCCACCTGGAGACCTGGCACCTGCCCCCCAGGGGAGCCCCCTGGATTTCAGCCCCTTCTGGGCGACTGGAGGATGGGGCGGTCCCAGGGTGAGGGGGCAGCTGCGGGGGGGGGCTGCCTC